CGGGGGCACATGTTTTTCTTTGCGTCGTTCCTACCTCCTCCGTGTTATTCCGTAGATTCCATCCGATCGTGATCCCTAAAATACCGTCAAAATATCCTATCTATTTCTGACCGTGAGGGGAAAGACGTGTTATCGCGTCTCCAAGAGTAGAGATGATAAAGGAAAAAAATATCAAAAATATACAACGAAAATAAAAGTAATAAATTGTTATACATTGCTTCCGTGTAACAAACCGTATAGTTTTTAATTACAATGCTCTGATATTTTTAGATTCGAACGGATCGTTTATGAAATAAATATATATGCAATTTTCATTGAAATAACGTTCGAGGGAAAATATTCTTTCATAAAGCCAACCACACGCTCGGTGGATCGCGATTTTTTCCAGCTCGCTCAGCATTTAAGCGATGCAGGGTCAAGTGGTGCTGTTTTTCTTAGGTCAGCGCAACGCGTGGCGTGCACAGGGTGTGTAACGTGCCAAAAAATGCAAACCTCGACGACGGTAAAGCGGTAAGATGTCCTCTATTCGTGCCATCCTTTATCGTTTTCCTCTTTCTTCTTTTCCCTTTTCTTCTTTTAATTCTCTACGGTATCGGATATATGAATCAATGAGTGAGTAAACAGTGGTGTTGGTATTCGCGCATCTTCTAACCTATACACGTAAGATAGCACCACTTTAATTAAATTTGATAATTAATCGTAGCGTGTAAAGACCGTTTACGAGGCTTGATCTTATCAGTCGTCATGTGCCTCGATGATTGCACCTATAAATTAGATCCGCATATATACAGACCGATCTTATCTCTCGATAATCTTGCGTCATATTGCATGCCAAGGATACGTTTCCCTTAATCCAATAATGACTTATTCTAATTGAAAATAATATGTATGGTAAATTATACAAAGTATACAAAGAATAATTTCACTCTGAATTTTCAATCTAATATATAATTTTCAATCTAAATAGTTCCGAGAAAATTTCAAAGTGTTAAAATATCGATTACTTCGAGAATAAAAGGAAAAAAAAATGCTATTTCGAGCCTCCTTTTACCTTTTTTATTCGAGCCATTCTTTTCCATCCGACCAAATATATCCCATAAAATACCAAACTGTCGCGCTTCACTTCTAAAACGTACACGATTCGCTCTTCCATGTACGAAGAATCGATCGAACAACTGTAGAATCTTTAGCATGAATCGGGCAACCCTTTTCCAATCGAATACCGGGAGGAAGAAACACGAAACGTTGCTGGGAATTAGCATAACAAGATTCCACGGTGTACGTAATGCGGGAACGCCACCGGCTTGCCACAGATTTGCATGGTCCATTTAAATACAATTTCTTTTCCTCGATCAAGAAATTACGCGAAGCGCAACCCCCTCCCATCTTTCTGCCTTTGGACAGGGGTATACAATGGCGAGATGGATCAAAAGGATTTTGCGTTAAAGCGAAGAAAAAAAAAAATCGACGATTCTTCATCGTTCTTCCACCCTTACACGCCCTCCCCATTCTCTTGTCTCGGATCTCGCGTGTTATGCTAATTAATTCCGCCTGTATATTAATCGCGGTACCCTTCATGGTTGGCACCGCATGATAGACAGCTCTGCCTCGAATAATCAACCCCCTTTATTTTTCTGTTCGTTAATGTAAGAAAAGGGTTGCCCATTAATTATACAATCTCGCCGCGAGATACGGTTTTAATTAAACGGGAAAATATTAACGTATATTTATTTATTTAGAAGAAGATTGATACATTTTTAGGCGCAACGTTTGCATAATGTATGAAAATTGCATTGAATTTTGAACAATTTAATTAAGGTATTTATCAACAGGCAGAGAAAATACACGGGCAATTTAGATTTCAAATTAGTGGAAAAATTCATTAGAACGGATTGGGGGAACGGTATTTCAGCGAGATTGTTTATTATGAATGAGCGTTGCGTGGAAGCGTTTTAGAGTATCGAGGAATAATAAAAACAGAGAAGTTCGCGAAATTTTCACTTATCGCGTCGCTCGAGTCAATCGAATCTGCACAAAGTTATCAAATTGTACGGTAATAATGCGATTTCATTAAAATTCTTAAAATCCACCGATCCTAAAAAAATTAATTAAATTCCTTGCTTCGCGTAGACCTTCGAGTACAATAAGAGCGTGCACGGACAGAGCTCCACGGAGCAGAGAGCCGTACACGGTCCGATGAAAAATCCCAATACGATTTCACGAACAATTACGTATCTCCCCTCGGAAAATATTTCAACGATACATTTTACCTCGCAGCCCGTATCGATTACCGAATCCCCGTGGCTCTTCGGATTCAAAGGTAAAGAGGGAACGAATCTCTGAAATTTCCGCTTCCTGGACGAAAAGTAAACGGCGCCCGTTTTCTCGGCGCGGTATCCAACGTCTGGAACTGCTTTCCTCGTGAGAGGTTTTCGCGTCGTTTTTCACTCGGCGGTTCACAGCCGGCAACCGATAAACGAAAACCGAGAGAAGATAGAAACCGGCCGCCCGAATCCTTCGGAACAAATGCTCGGAACGTGTTGGCCACCACCTACGTGTGCGTGTGTGTGTGTGTGCGCGCGTACGTAGATGCAGAGAACGGCGCGTTTTCGCCGTTTCAAGCGATCTGCAAACACGGCTATGTTGTGGATTATGTGTAAGTATCGCGAAACGGTGAAAATAAGCGGGCGGAAGCGGGATCGAACGGAATCGGGCAAGGCGCAATCCCGGCGGACTTGCGCGCCAACGCATATCTCTCCGCATCGTGAATCGACTAACTGGTGTGATTGTCCACCCACCGACGGAAATGCAAATTTACCACGCCGCGTTTGTTTTTTCGTTTCATTCGGAGACGGTCAGTTAGCGATTTAAGCTGAGAATGGGCTGGGAGTAGGTGGGTGAAAAACGGTTCGCGGGGTTTTAATTAATCGGAGGTTTTTGTGCGAAGGTTTTGGAAGAATGCAAATATGAAAGTTTAGTTAAGAAATACTTCAATGAGATTTGCATCACAGGTGAGGATATTGAGTATATCGATGGAAGTTCAGGATGGAGAAAAAAGTTCTTTCTTAAGTTTATTATAAATTCTATTATTAATTCTATAGAAAATTGTGAAAATATTGATTAGATTTAAAGATACTTTATCCGAAAAATCTTATGATTTTATACGTACATGCATACTTTCGTAGAGCGAAGTTTGGAACAAATTAAAATCGACGAAGGATAGAATTTAATTTAAGTTCGATAATTTTGTAACGATTCCCTTGTCAAAAATATTCGCGAGAAATATGAAAAATTGATGGCACGCGAGCAGGATAAGGGGATGAATCGGAATGACTGAGGGGGATAGGGTGATCAGGTGAATTCCACGGGTGCAAAACGATTTATGAGAAACGAACACCCGGCTGTAAAATAACACTTCCCATTCAAATCGGCAAATTAATGGTCGTTTTCATGGATTCTTTGTTTGCACCGTCCCGACAATGGCTGGCTGCTGGGTTATTATTCTGAAATACTACTATGTCCACCGAGTTGGAGCAGAATCCGCGGAACGTACGCGGCCATCCCTTGTCGGCAACTTTTTTCCCACGGCCATGTCGCCAAGGCTGAATTAGAAACAAGGGATTTATTCGTGGAAACGTATAATCCTCCTCTAATCGCGCATCGTTGCGTAATTTTATCAAAATTTTTAATATATCTAGTCCATGAATCGAGAGAGAGAATATCAAAAAGTTGAAACATTTCAATTATTTCAAAATTATAGTAAAATTCCGAATGGTAAGTAAAGTATTGTTTTTATTGTATTGATTATGTATTTATTTACGTTATTCTCTATCTTTGATTCATTTTTCTTTATTCGTTTTGAAATTTATTTGAGCTTATTACAATAATATCGAGTTTATTTTGTTAACTAAGTTACGAAAATGAATTTCTAATCTAATTAACTTCTCACGTAGCTCATGCAATAAATTCTTTAACATGGATTGAAAAAGTGTATTTTTATTATCAAGACGGACATTAAAATCGTCGAGGAAATAAAGAATTTTTTCTAAACATCTCTCGTTTTATTCTGTTCTGTATCTGTATCGAAATTAATCCATGTCACACGTTTAGAAATCCTTTGACAAATCAGAATATCGATGAAAGGCCGTTAAAGAATCGATGCATATTTCTACCTTTGGAAAAGATCTCGTCGCAATCATCGCGTACAAAGGATGCCGCGTTCAAAATGAAAACGCGAAAAATAGAAAAGAGACATGCGAACGCATTTAAAATAGTCCTCGATTTTCACGATAACGATTTCTATTCACGCTAGGATCTGGAATGTTCTAAATAAAATTTTCTGCGCGAACGATAAGCTATTAAATATCTCGTGGATTGTTATAGGAATCGTGCAAAATCGCTCGTGAAGAAGAAGATGTGAAAGATAAACACGTGGGCCGTTCATTTGTTCCAGAGCAGCTATATCCACATGGCGACCATTCATTTTATGTGGAATTCCGCTCGTGTTTAGATGAAATAAAAGCAAATAAAAGTACGTGGCACAAAGAAATTCTTCGATCTTAACTGCGAATCAACATGGATATTTGAGAAATATAAGAATTCTTTGGTCCAATTTCTTTGGTCCGAACATCAATAGTTTAAATCGATTAAGAAAAATATGAATTTAAGATATACAAGAACAAATAAATAAAATTATTTATACATGTATATTATATGTTCAAAAAAATATTTAAAATACGTAAAATAGTAGTTAATAATCTTTCTGAAAGAATTTTTTAATCTGTAGAATTGATATGAAGGAATAGATGTAAAGAAAGTTGTTCAAGTTTCATGCAACGATTTTCCGACGATATAACGGAAATGAGCATCCTACTGAGATAACCAAGGATCCTGGTGAGCAGGAATAATTTCAATTTCGTTGCAAGTTTACGTTTAAAAACCATTCAAATAATAAAAAGAGCTTCTATTACATAATTATTAGAAAATCAAAACAGATTTACCTTGGACCGGTGCGTAGACGTTTAAGTACAAGCAATCCTCGCTCTGGTTCCTTAGGTAGGGTAACAATCTCCTCAAATACTCGACCCTTCCTTTCGGCATTTTGTCACTGAGCTCGGGCAGCCTTTGGGGACAGACCGGTCCGAATTTGTCCGCCACTTTAACGCCGTGCCACAACGCGCTGCTCACAGGAGGCATGAAACGCAACGAGCCGATCGGCGGCGACGCGTACGGAACGC